AGACCATAGCAGTGGCGGACAGTGTGGTAGCCAGTGGATTAATGTGGTTCTCATTTGCCATCTCAAAGATACCACCTTTGGACCAAAAATCGTACAACAATAAACCGTCCAAACATTGAGATTTCATGCCCGCTGTTCATCTTGCTTGTCTTGTGCGAAACAATGATCCATCTCCCCTGTCTCCCTTCTGTCCTGGAAAGACAAACCAACTTTGTTGACCAACGCACCAATAGCTAAGGGACTTTTTCCATCAACTTCTTTGTCTTTTTCTGTTCCCACTTCAGTGAAATTGTATGTATAATCCTTTCATTCTGTGTATGGGAGGGAATCTTCCTTCCATCGGGGTCGAGGAGGCCCCTTCTTTGATGTGACCTCCAGGTGTTGGGGTGTCCCTGGTAGAGGTTTTCTGGCTTTATCTGTTGACTCCACAAGCTGTGCAGGACCAGACATGAGCAACCAGCCCATACACAATCTGGTCACGTAAGTGCTGTGGTCTTCCTGCAATCCCTATTTAATCACCATTTAATCAACTCCAGGATGTATTTTTCATGTTTCAACATCTCTGAAATTGGGCTGTTCCTGACAGTCCACGGTGTCCAGAAGTTGGCCTGGATAGGGTTGAGTTCTTCGTGGAAGAGTTTGTGATTTGTGTCATCCCGTGAGGGCACTGCCACCCTGAAACCACTTAAAGGAATTCTCTGTGTGAGTTTGGGGGGCCCACATGGGTAATGTCAATCCTTCACAAAGTTGGCTGAGTTCCTGGCTGGCCTACGGTTCAGGCTCTCAGATGTCCCCTTCCCTAGCCCAGGGCTGATCCAGGCATTTGTTCTTTCTCAGATTTTCTGAGGATGGCGCCTCTCTCCCTGTCCACACTGAGGGCTGGTGGATGGCACTCTACCTCCTGGGGCTCAATTTCCCCAAGATCCACAAGGAAGTAGAAGGAGGAGACACACGATGACGTGGCCCACGGCCTTGTGAGGGAAAGCGTGGAACTCCACGGGCTTCTCCAGAGCACGGGGGAGCATTAACACCTTTGGGTGGAGGCCATCTGTGACATTTTTCTCTTCTGACACCTTTCTAGATTTTATTTCTGGATGAGGGAGACTTCTGGAGTAGGAAAGCCATTTGAGGACATTTCCCTATTCACTGCATCCAGCCTTACAAGCACCTGCCATCCGCTCTGGGAGCTGGAACCACCAGGTCACCAGCACTACACTGTGGGACTCCGGGGTGGTGTTCAAATTCTCCTTTCAGACTCTGACGGTCAGGATTTGTGGTCTGGGATTTGCTTGTTTGTTTTCTGAGGTCACTGGTAAAAATATTTTTTTGGTATGGTAAAATATAGGTAACATAAAATTGACCACTTCAGCCTTTTTTAAGCGTGCGATTCAGTGACAGCAGATTCATGTTGGTGGTTCTCCTTTTTGAACTTTCTGATTTTATGTGGGCAGCTCCTGCTTAAACACACGTTTGGATCATGTTTGCTTTTCTCCTGGAACTATGGCCTATGTTGGTACTGACCTTGTCCTCAGGTTGGCCAAGTCTGGTGCCAGCACAACCACAACACCCAGCCAGGGGGGTGCCCGAGACCACGATCTGTCTCCACCTGCTGGCAGAGGCCATTGGGTTCCCTGGCCCATGTCGAGAGCTGCCTGGGCTGGACTGAGGCCTTAGGGAATCCGCTCATCCCTGTGACCCCTGCCTCCACGTCTGGCTCAGGGTCATCCGTTTACCCCATGAGGAACTCTTCAGATCCCCTCCGTGCCACAGCTCTACCGAGGCTTGCAGCTCACACGCTAGTGTTGGGGGCAGGAGCGCAGGTGCCTGTGCCAGCGCTGTGTCCTGCACGCCTCTCGTCCTGTCTGGATGGAAAGACGCCCTGGCCTGGCAGCCCTCCTTCCCGCCATGCCCTGGCCACACTGGCCTCTCGGCCACATAGGGCTCTGCCACACGGCCCCTCTGCAGGGACGTGGCAGCCACGTCCTCCTGCTGCCCTGTTTTCCTGGGTCCCGTCTACATCCATCCTGAGCCTCTGGGACCTGCTTCTCATCAGACCTACACGGCCAGGTCCTCTTACAGCACTGAGCGCCATGGAGGGTGACCAGGGGCATTTTGTAAGAACAGAGTGCAAATCTGAGCCCTGAGAGTCCAGCTTCCCACCTTGGCTTGCTCCTGTCACACACCCATCACATGGGCCAGCACCAGGGCCACCTGATGGATGCCTCCTCTCCGTCTCTCTTTCTACCTCTGTCCACACCCCTCCGTGTGATGCCCCATTTTTATGTAGATTTGCTCCTGTTAAAGGGGCATCGGATGGAGCCCCCCACCCTGCTGCCCGTGGTTTCCTCCAGTCTGGTTTGGGCAGAGCTCCCCTGGTCTGTGGTCTCCGAGGGTCCTGGCCTCCCTCAGTTGGGACTTGCCTGACCGTCCTCTCATGATCAGCCTTGGGTTAAATGTTCTTTTCGGCAGCACCCCAAGTAGCGATGTGCGTGCGTCCTCCCCAGTGTGTGGTGTCAGGGGATGCGTGATGGCAGGTCCGAGTGTTGGTACTGTTGTGTGGATCACCTGGAAAAGATGTGTTTCCCAGATCTGCACATAAAGGCATATTTTCCTGGTGGATTATTAGGTCATTTCTGAGGTGATACTGAGACCACGTGAGGATCTAGTTTCTCAATGACTTTCTGCCAAGCTTTGGGTACTCACGGGTGTGGGTGCTGGCTTGCCTCTACCAGTAACTGCTGTGGTGGCGACGAACAGGGCTCTCTGCAGAATGGGGCTTTAACCCCCAGTCCTGTTTGGGCGGCTCCATCCACAAGGGAGGTGAGGACAGCTGCCTGCCATCCCACCCGGCCCAGCTGAGCTGTCTCGCCGTTCCTTCCCCTTCCTCGCACCTTTGGGCCCTGCACCTTCGCCCGTCCTGTCAGGCCACCCACACCAGCCTGGCTGTCACACTCAGAGCTCCTGACCCCACTGCTCCCAGGGCTCAGCTCCTGCCCTCTGAGGGCGCTCAGGCGGGCAGCGGGCCAGGGAGGAGCAGGTCCCTGCGACGTGGCAACCCGCCCTCTCTCAGCAGAAAGCAGACCCTCCTTTCCTCGCGCCTGTGGTTCCTCAGCCTCGGGTTCCTGCCGCCCTCTGTCCTGAGGTCTCACCTTCCTCATCCAGCATCCCCCTTGGTTATTCCTAAGCAAAGATGGGCCACCCTGCAGGAAATCTGGTGGCAGCAGATCACACAATACCCCTGTTGCCCGAGCCTTCATGCGTCCGAGTTAATACGCAGACGGAGGGGTTTCATTAGCTCCATTTTGCTCAGACAGGGAGGTGGGCCATGGCAGCCACCCAGGCGCCCGCAGAGCTGACTTCAGCCCAGGGCGTCCAGGATGAGCGCCCTCCCACTGGCTATGCCATGGCCCGGCCATGCCGTGGGCTCCCACGTTTCCTGCAGAACCTCACCGCTTTGGGCTCTATCTTCGGGACAGGGATGATGGGCAGACTGTGGCGACGACACCAGAACCTCAGGCGATGAGGCTCCCCTGGCCGTTGTCGGTGGGCGGAGCCTCCGTTTCCCTCCCCGCCCAGGCGCCCACGTGGCCTTGGCAGGCAGGGCGCACACAGCACCACGAAGCTCGCTCAGGCGATGAGGCTCCCCTGGCCGTTGTCGGTGGGCGGAGCCTCCGTTTCCCTCCCCGCCGAGGCGCCCACGTGGCCTTGGCAGGCAGGGCGCACACAGCACCACGAAGCTCGGTTTTACTGGCAACTCTCTCCCTGGAGCTCTCTCTGGGCCCCAAGCCACCTCTGGTCTCTAGGAATGGGGACGCAAGTGTGGGGGTTGCCTCGGGGGCCAGGACAGGTGCCTGGAGACTGGGCTGATGCAAAGGGTGGCTCCTGAAGCCCCGCGGAGGGGCTCCAGGTGGGGGAGGAGCAGGGCTCCGGACACCCTCGGGCCCGCGGGCCACTTCTGGGCAGGTGAGTGATGTTCACATTGACTTTTCCTGATCTTGCAATATTTCCTGTTTACGAAAGGCTCTGTCCAGCCTGTACTGGAACTTTCAAACTTTGCTCAGCAAACTTACGCAAAATGCAAACTTATGGGGACATTTGGAAAACAGGTGGGCAGGTCCCGTCTGAGGTAATTTTCTATTTACTAAAAGTATGTTTGTTTTCAGGACCATTTACCTCGGGGCCTGGAGACAGCGCTTGACTTGTGGCAGGCAAGGCATGGCATGTTGACGTGATGAGAGGAGCCCCTAGCAGTCCCAGCCCTGCCGCCTTCACCCCATACCTCCTGCCCTGGCCGCGCATGGTGGCTCCTGTGGAGCTCTAGAAACTTCTGGGCCCAGTGCCCTGAAGTGAGCGTGCATCAGGACTGATTTCAGTGCCAGGCCATGGCCCAGATGCAGGGTTTCTACAGCCCTTTAAGGGGTCTAAACCACACTCAGGTTGGGACCCCGTGCTGGGTCACCTGCTCAGGGGATCATGCCTGGACACACCCACCATACCCCAATTTGGGTGGAGGGCCTGGTCAATTTGAAAATTCCCGTGCCAGTTAGCAGCTTTCTGGATTGTTAGGAGGTCATCTGGAAGAAGTGTTTCCATGGTGTCTAATGCTCAGAGATGAATGGGGTGACTCGGGCCAGGGAGAGGGATCTTAGAGAGGCCGCACTGGTGTGTGGGCCCCTCCCAGCCGCACAGTGCCTGCACGGGCTGGGATCCCTGCCCTGCTCCCAGATCCGGGGACAGTTAGCTCAAGAGTCTGAGACGAGCAGCTGGCGAGCCAGAAGCAGGGCAGTGGGCAGGACGGCGCCATCACATCTGAGCTCCTTCCCTACAGGGAGCACCACTCCCGGCAGAAATGTCCCAGCCTGGTGCTCCAAAGGAGCACTCATGTCCCACCCCAACAGCACCAGGGTGGACGAGGACATCATCACCACAGGGGAGGGCTCCCAGCAACAGCCTGCCGGGGACAGACCCTCAACAAAACCAGACACCGGATGCACCGCGGCCTGAGGGTGGTGCTGCTTTAATGGGGAGGAAGTGGGGACTCAGGAGGCGGCCCCCTGGCTTTCATGGACCTATCGATCCACTTGAGGAAGGCTGTCACCTTGGTGTAGACCCCATACTTCCCTTTCCTGGCACACCCCTCCCCCCAGCTGACGATGCCTGTCACAAAGTAGGTGTCCTTGAAGGGGGTGACGTGGGGGCCGCCGCTGTCCCCCTGGCAGGCATCCTGGGGCGCGGTGTCGTAGCCGGCACAGAACATGTTCTGGGTGATGGTGAAGCTGCTGGACAGCTTGCAGGTGTTGCGGTCCACGTAGGGCACCGCCAGCATCTTGAGGGTGGTGGACAGGCGGCTCTTCTCGTGCGTGCGCCCGAACCCGCTCACGATGCCCGTCTTCTGTGTCATCAGCGTGGCCTCCGCCCAGTCCTTCTCGGGCAGGCAGGCCGGGGCCACGTTCATGCGGAAGGTGATGGGCGTCTTCAGCCTGAGCATGGCGATGTCGAAGTCGTATGTCTCCCGCACGAATTTGTTGTGCTTGATGATCATCTCCACCTCGTGCTCGGTCTCATTGCCTTCCTCCTCCTCCGTGTTCCGGTCCCCTGGGTGCGGGGCACAGGGCGGGGCTCAGTGCGGTCTGCACCACGCACTGAAGTGTTGGTTACTTTTAAAGCTTTTTTTTTCTAATAGAAAAATGGTAAATGCTCACTTTTGAATATTTGAAAAATATAGAAAAGTGTAAAGAAGTGAATAAAAATGGTCTCCAATCTCCGATCGAGGTGCCCACCAGCCACACTTCTGCATGTGTCTCACACGCAGACACCCCCGTCATTCAGTCCCTCACAGCTGTCGCCTGTGTCTGTGTGCTGGGCGCCATTTAGGTGTCCAGGAGCTAAAGCCTCACACTCTGCACCTGTCACCTGTGCTGTCCGGACGAGCAGACACCAGCCCACAGGCACCAAGCGCTTGAAACATGGCCCGTCTGAACTGAGGTGTGCTGAGGTGTAAATTACAGACTTAGAATGAAAAAAGAATGCAGAATTAAACCTTAAACATTTCAAATTGATTACATACGGAAATGATATTTGGGACATATTGAGTTAAATAAGATGTTATTAAAATTCACTTCACCTTTCTTATACTTTAAAATGCATAATAGAAAATTTAATGTTACAAAAAATTTCAAATTACATATGTGGCTCACATTTGTGGCCTGCATGGGATTTTCACTGAACAGCTCCAGGGTCTAGTAGAGAAAGACGATCCCCAAAATAAAAACAGAAGAGGCAGAGGGGTGCATGGTGCTCAGAGAATGTCAAGGCTCCCGAGGGAAGGACACGGAGACCCAGAGACCCCCGGAGCGGACCGTGGGGGGGGAGGGGCTGCACTGGCTCAGGAGAGTCTGCAGATGCCTTCCCGCTCCTCCCACCTCTCCTCTGCAATATGGCCCACCCAAACTGTATTTCAGTATTTTAAGAGTTCCCACCAAATCCTGGCAGCTCTAGTGATCTCAGGAAAGGAGCTGGTGACTGTGGGGCATCCCGGGGCCCCGAGGGACTTCACTTACCTACCCTCACCTTGAATCTCTTGGCGTGGTGTAGACAGTGGGCCGCGGTGAGGACGTGGAACTCGTTCAGGATGGTGCCTCCGCAGAAGCCTTCATTCTCCTCGTTGACGAGAAGAGCCTGTGACGAGAACAGTGTCTGCAAAGCCACGACAGTCTGCAAGCTGCGCAGCGGCCGGAGCAGCAGGCCACACTCCACCAGCTGAGAAGGGGGACTTAGGACACAGTGCGGCCCAGGTCTCCTCAACATGCGCTTCCTACCCAGATTAGAGCTTCCCACGCCCTCCCTCCTTCCCACCCTCTGCTGCCCTCCCCGCCCCAACGTGGGAACCAGTGGGGTCTTTTTCTAGGCACTGGAAGTCGCTTTCTGCTTCAGACCAGCGTGCAGGCCAAAGTGCACTGCCCACCCACCCATTCTCCCTCATCCTCCCCAACAGCCCAGTCCTTTGACTGCTCCTCACCCTGTACCCACTGTGCCCATTCCTGCAAATCCCACTGGCTGTCCCCTGGCACTCTGACCAGGCCAAGGGCTGCTTGTTGTCCCAAGACCACCTCATGGACAACATTTCAGCTGCTCCCTCCCCACTGACTCTGGATTTCTGCCATGTGTGTCATATCTTTGTTTTATGGTCACCACTCCATGTGCGTATTCATTTCCTCACCAGACATCGACTGAGGGCCAGCTCAGCACCAAGCACTGGCCACTGGAGGACGGCTCTCCTACCTGGACTATAAACTCACTTTGACAGTATCCACCTTTTATTTCTTCTGGACCTGTCACAGTATTCTCTAAAGTATTATGCACAGAACATGTTTTCAAGTGCTTTTGGAAAAAGTTTTCACTGTGGTAATAACCTCTGTTGTCTATGTGGCTATGACTTATACCCTAAACCAGGCTGATGCCAGTCTCTAGAGAAACACCAGCCTAACCTGGAGTGACTTCCTGGTGCCTCGACTGGTCCAACCATTCAGACCTATCTCCCATGGTGCATGGGCCACCACCACTCAAGGTGACATCCCTAGAGTTCGCGTGGCTGCTCCTGTGAGTGGTTTTCTCCTGACAGCAATTGCAAAGGAATACCCGGGGGCACCAGTGCTGACGGGCAGGTGAGGGGCACCACACCCTTTCCCTGAAGAGCTGGGCTCGCATGTCTGCACCCTGAGCATCTTCTGCTTTCCTTTCTCTAGGGAATTTCCCATCCTCTAAGTAACAGTCATTGGCTGGGGGTATGTGTAGGTCAACAAAACAACTCACAGTATCAAGTCCCAAGAGAATTCTTGAAGACGTTCATGACTAGAAAAGTAATAATGGTTTTTTTTTTTTTAACTCATTATCCAACTTGAGGGACTAGTGAGGGAAAATCCATCTTTCTGAGTTGGACACCGACTGTTCTTCCTGAAGGTGAGATGAGGCAAGACTTGACCCAGGAAAACAGGAATCACACAGGCCAACAGGCCCCACAGGGAAACCTTTGAGGAGGCCTCCTGTCTGCCCTTCCCTGGCCTCTGCCTCCTGGAGCCCTGAGTCCTACGGACACCTGAGCTCTGTGCAAGGCTTTTCCTGTGCACCCTAGGGGAACCTTGGGGATGCTGAGCTGGCACGCTCTCCTGACCCTAATCACACAGTAACTTGGGTTGCGACGATTTGGGTCCTAGCTCCCTTCCTGGGTTTAGATTTCTATGTGTCAGAGAAGCAGCTTCATGCGTCACGTACACAACACAAACCCAGCACAGCCAGTTCTCAGTACGCGTGTGCTGAATGAATGGATGTTGAAATTCCCTTCTCTTGCGTGCCTCGAGTTTAGATGAACGCACACCTGTTGTGTAGCCTGGAGGTGGGGGAGATCCGAGGTCATGTGTTGGCAGCTCTGGGATTTTTGCTTGTTGGAGAGGCCATTTTCGCTTTGGACAATTAAAACTTCAGGTCCAACTGAGGACGAGGCACCCAGTTAAATTTGAATTTGACAAAACAACAAATAATTTTTAGTACCAGTATGTCCCAAGCAATATTTGAGGCATATTTACATCAAAATTATTCATTGTTTATGTGAAATTCAAATTTAATGAAAGTCTTGTTTTTATTTGCTAATCCGGCAACCTTAGTCCAAATTCATAATCAAAGAGTGATTTTTTTACCTTTGAAAATAGATGTGCTTTTCTCTCAGGTACTATCCTCCTCCTTAGGATTTAGGTGTTTAAGTAAAAATATTTGGAAATTAGCAGTGAATGATGCCTTCCCTCAAACAGAACTGCATGCAGTGGCCTGTACTTGACATCCGGGATCCACCCCCCTACTGCTGACCAGCAGCCTGAGCTGCGCCCAATCCCCTGGTTGTGACCCCATTTCCTTCCAGTGTAGGCTGGTGTTTTGGGACACGAGGCTGGGGCCATACCTCTGTCTCTCTTGCTTTCTTCACAGAACAGGATAATGCTGGGCACGCACGAGCAAGCAACAAGGAATGCCAGACTGGAATGGGGCACCGGGGTGGGGTGGGGGCAGGTGCTGAGGGCCCAGCCTCCTCCTTATCTCAGGATGCACCAATAGCTTCCAAGGCCGCCCGGCCCAGGGGGAGGGGACGACAGGTGTGCTCAGGTGGCCGGGCACTGTGTCCCAGCACAGAATGGGGCCTTCCTGGGCTGCCAATTCCCAGAGGGCCCGCCCGGACTCCGCTGAGGTACCAAGCTGGGATCGGTCTGGAGGGGCTGAGGGGCTGACGCCAGGGATACCTGCCAGGGACACTCCCCGTCTTTGCATTCCCGGCCGCCCACGATGCGGGTGTTGTCGTTGGTGTACTCCTCGGGGTACGTCTGGTTGATGTCAAGCAGGTTGAAAGGGTTCTCGGTGGGGGCCAGGTCGCCTGGGTCGTACTGCTCCAGCATGGCAGTTTCCAGAGGGCTGCTGGTGTCCTGGGCCACTGACCTCTTCCTGCGCCCCATGGTCATTTTCCCACAGGGGAAGAGTTCTGAAAGAGAAAGGACGGCCCGGGCCTCCTGCAGGGAGAGAAGCCACCACGCCCACAGCGTTCATGGTGCAGGACACAGTTGCAGGACACAGTCGCAGTCTGAGGGGCGGGCGGGGCAGGCTCTGTAACTGGCAGGGGCAGGGGGACTTTTGGGGCAATGTTCCACATCTCGGTGGGGGCTGCGTTCCTCAGGGGAGTGTGACTGTCTGTGTCAGTATTGCTCGTGTGACAGCGCTGTGGGCACTGAGCTCCAGTAGACAGCTTGCTCAAGCGCTCGAGGAAAAGTGCCAAGAGAGTCAAGGTGGCTTGGTGGGGGGGCGGCAGGGTGCAGGACGAACAGGGCTAGGCGTGACGAAACGAAGCCAGCACAGCGAGATGCTCTGGCGGGGCCCAGGTGGTGGCACAGGCTTTCTGTAGAAGTCTTTAGATTTTCCCGCATGTTTGAAAAATTTTCCTAATGAAATGTTGAAGGAAAAGAATGTTTCTCAGCAGAGAGAAAACATATGCCAACCACCTGCGGCATAAGAAAGGCCCTGTGACACAGGTTTGTACAAAGTCTAAAGAATTACAGCTCTCCTTAAAATCGCTACACACAGGGTCACGCAGTACATATTAGAAAGCCTCCTTCCCGTATTGTCACCAACTAGGCAGAGAGCAGGGACAAGGCAGGACACAGGAAGGCAGGGTGTGGGGCTGCAGGTGGGAAGAAAAGGAAAGAGCCACTCTGAACACAGGTCTGGAGTGGCTGCTGTCTGTGGCCCTTCGCTCGTCTACGGTCCCATCAGCACAGTGTCACTTTCTGTGTGTTGTGATTGTGCAGGGCATGAAGGAGCGCCCACCTCCGGGCAGACAGGTGAATTTGCTACCTGGAGATCAGTGCTCTTTACCCTACAGTGTGTTCGTTCTGTGTTAATATCTGTAGTCACTACTTGAAATTTTGAACTAGCTTGTCCATAATTTAGAACAGAACTTTTTGCACTAGGAAGTAGTTCACCTGATTTTATTTTCAAACATCAAATTTTACTTTAAGTTGATTTGTGATTATTCCTAGCATTAAAAAAGAATGCATTCGTGTCAAGAAATGACTTTAGTCAAAATATTTTTGAAGCAGCTTAAAATCTCATTGCCAATAGAAATGTAAACAATACTGTCTTTTACTTGTTGAGAGATTATGTTACATAATTGAAGTGATACTTGAAGGATATATTTGGAACCAATTTTTCTCTTGATTACTTATCTTTTGAAATAAATTATTTTCACTGAGAAGAATATGTGACAAAATCACTTAAGAGCAATGAGTCTCTGGGCACGACAGTTGTCACTGCCACTTGGTAGGAAACTGCTCTGGTTGTTGAGCACGTCCGAAGCCCGAATGTGCATGAGGCTGAGACTCTGTGTCTCTAACACTCTAGGTGATGCCAAAGCTGGGGGTCAGGGGACCAGTTAGGACCAATTAGGAGCTGGGTGACTGAGATGTGGATCAAGTGGGGCTAGGGGACTGGCCTCTCAGAAACTCTGGCCAGTGCTCACCGTGGGGCAGGCCCACAGTTAGACAGGCCCAATGCAGGTACATCTCAGAGTGTCTGGGACAGGAGGCTCATGCCCCCACACCGCCTGGTCACTCAGCCCATCCTGTGTTCACTGCCCTCTGGGAGCTTCTCGGCCAGACTCATTCACGTCTGGCTTCCATCAAGTAAGAGAAAAAATAAATTCAACTAACACTGGAAACAAAATCAGTTCTTGAGGGTCCTTTGGCACCCCTTCCCATCCCACGCCATCTCCTCCCCTGCTTCCAGGTCCCGACTCTGGGCCGTGATTGACTGCCAGGCCTTGCTCCTCACCTGCCCTTGCACCCAGCTCCTGGGCCCTCTGTCCTCCCTTGGGACAATGGACTCTTGGGCTTCCCTTGCATAGGTGCTTGTCACCACAGCTATCATGCAGTTATTTACAGCTTGTGTGTGCCAGGCACTGTGCAAAGTGCTTCCCAGGGACCACCCCCTCACAGTGTCATACTCACCCAGGGGGGTGGGTAATAGTATTGGTCCCATTTTTCAGATGAGAAAATTGAGGCTAAACAGCACATCTGGCTCACAGAAATGAAAGGTCTGTTTCCAAACCTCATGATGCTCATGACCCAGAGGGCCAGAGCTCACCTGCAGGCCTGCCAGAGAATGTGATGTCCCTGCCCACCGGCACGGCTGGCACCGGGTTTAGCACCATGGCCTCCGTGGCCCAGGGAGCCCTGCTGGGTGGGGCCAACGCTCCTCTCACCTGTGGAGACACAGGACTTGCCGTCGTCCCCCAGGGTGTACCCACTGGCACAGGAACACACCACAGAGTTCTGCTCTTCATGACAGAACTGGTCACAGTCCCCGTTGTCCAGGCTGCAGAGTTTCCGTGTGACTGTAAGAGAGTGGCATGTTGGCCTCAGGACAGGCCGGGGAAACTGAGGGTGCAGCTGGCCAGACGGCACCAATTCCATCCACCCAGCCCTTAGCCACACAGTAGGCCACGGGGCTGGAGCACAAACAGGATGGGGAGTCAAGAGCAGGTGGGGCAGGGAGTGAGGTGGCCCTGGCCGTGGGAGCTCTTCCCCCCCCACTCGCCCCCGACTGCATGAGGAGTACTGTGGCATCCACGCAGGGGAGGGCCCTGCGGCCTTGGCACTGGCCCTTAAGACACCTGAGCATGCCCAGTGAGGGGCCCACAGGGGGGTTGTCCAGTGTCCAAGGAAGGGAGCATGGGAGGGCCTGCCTGCAGGAGGGGAGCCCCAGGGACTGGAGCTGGCGTCCAGCTGGGTGGCTTCCTCTGAGGCAGGTGGGTTCTCTGTGGAATTGAGGTCCCCATGACCAGGGTGTGCCAGGAAGACTGGGCTTGGCCAACCTTATGTGTTCACTGGCATTAGCAGCCGACATTTAAGGGTATTCTTCCCTTAGAAAGTCTTCAGAGAAGTTATCTTCCCCTTCAGATTCCATCTGTTGCTGTGGCTGGTGGGTCCAGACAAGCCCCCAAGAGCAGCCTCGTGTACCCGCTGCGGAGGACTGGGGCAACCCTCACCTGGTTCCAGGCACCTGCACTCACTCACTGGCTGATCACAGAACAATGACTAAGCGCCTGCCACGACCTTATGTTGTGCTGGATACCGCTGAACAAGACCAGGGCTCTGCCATGGGCACGTCACACTCCCGGTGCTCTGGACACTGGCCTGCCATGGGTGGCTGGAGACTGAGGAAGAGACTGGCGACTGGCTCCAGCGCAGGAAGGGAGCAGGGACGGCAGCACCATGGGTAAGAGCATGCGGCTGGGAGTCCAGACCGCCCAAGGTCCAAGGCCAGCTGGTCCGTCCTGGCTGTGTGGTTTGGGCAAGCTATTTATACCCCGTGGGCCTCAGTTTCCTCACTTGTGATGGAAGTAAAACCTCCTCACAGGTAACCTCACACGTGCCCACATGGAGCTATGGCTCCCTCAGCAGGCGCCAGGTTTCTGGGGACCTGCCTGTCTTACCGCAAGGTCAGCAGCACTAACAAGGGGGCCGCTGCTGCCAACCTGCTTCCAGTATAAACTGAATCCAACTGTAGACCCACACCAGTAGTGCATGCCGACGGCGGTCACCTACATCCCCCCGTCTGGGCTTTGATGAAAACTGTAATTACAGAGCAAAGATCAACCTTAATGGAATTTTAGAAAACATTCATAATAGCCCTGGGAGTCTGCTGGGTAGTATGCCTGGTAAGTTAGCTAAATGGTGTGCAGGGGAGGCAACTCTGGACTTTTAACGGAATGATACATAATTGATATTCCCATAAGGGAAAACTGAAAAATAATCCGACCTAAGAACACATTCTAAAGATTAAAAATTAAGTAATTTTTTAAAAATGCAAATTTTTCTCCTTAGGGAAAACTGGTCTAATAGTAACCAAATTTCTTATAAAAAAAATTAATCACACTATTAGAGGAAACTTTTAGTGATTTTTACATGTGGAATTAATTAAATGTATCAATTTTTTATAATTGGACAATCTTGAATATTCCTCGTTGATGTTTGCATTGACAAACGTAAATAAAAGGAGGCGATTTAGAATGAATGCACAGTATCACAAGGAACATGAATAACAGAGCAATATACTCTATCCTAAGGAAAACAGAACTAGTTCTCATTTGTGTATTAATGGATCATACACCTCATGAGTGTTCCACAGTCTCTCCCAGAGGAGCAGAGAAGTAATTGTGTGTGCCTCTCATCGTACCCCAAAGCCAAATCGTTTAGAGGACACAGTGGGGTTTGGGGTTTTCTTGTGATTACTATGGTAGCACAGTATAATTAAACACAGACTTTATAAATTATAAATAAATTAAGTTTGTTTCATTAAGCATGTTAGCTTCTTCCCATGTTCCCACCTTCTATTCTTAGGTAAGTCTGATCGGAAGGTATTCCAAGCAGAGGAACCTACGTAATTCACAGTTTTTGCCTTCAAATCCTTCCAAACAGGCGCATACGTATTCTCCGAGGCCGTCTTTACATTTGCCCTGATTCTGACAAGGATTGCTTTCACACTGGTCGCCATCTGCAAAGAGAGGATTTGGAAACCAAAGTTTGCAAGGAATTTCCATCGTCATGGAGACCATTTGCTGTGTTGACCTTGGCATGCATTTTTCAGATAATTTGGAACTGCTTCCTGTTGCTCCGTAAACAATCCCTCCTACCTGGACTTTGTTTTACCCGCACCCTTTGTGGCTATGTGTACGTGATGCCCTTATCTAACTGGATCATTGACTGGGCTTTCTAATTCTTGCTGAGATGTTTTACAGTGTGTTTACAACCAGAGCAGGGAGCTCTGGGTGGGTGACCATGTGGGACCTGCGGGAAGAACAGAGGACAGGTGAGAGTTTGACCCTTGTTTCTCAGCCAGGCCTTGACAAGAGAGAGCATTAGAGTTCCTCTTTCCAAATGACCCAGGTAAAATGTGAATGCTAAGACTCCTGTCCAGCACTAATATGAGACTTCATATTTCTTGTTGGATTTATATAAACTAATTTAGTGAGAGGTCCAATTTTCACTTTGAGAAATATGAATGCTGTTACCAGGTAGTCATGATTAGTACCATATCAGATGCTATGAGCATTAGATCAAGGTGGTTACCTTAGTAGGGAATCCAATCCTTCAGACTCTATTTTCTGCTTGTACCTAATACACTTGTATTTTTAAAAAATTATCATGAAATTTGAAATCCTCAAATGAGAACTGACTTAAATCTATACTTAAATAAAAAACTAGAATTAGGGCCGGCCCGGTGGCGCACTGGATAGTGCGCCGCTTGGGAAGCGCG